GCTGGTTGCTGGTCAAGTGCAGGGTGGCCAGCAGCAGGGCAGAGGAGGTTGGAGCTCAGGTGGAGGTGATCAAAGTCTCCCAGACCCCTGAAAGCACCCAGCTGGAGCTGCTCCACCCCTGGGCGCAGGGCAGGGATGTCCAGTGATGTCCAGCAGGTCTGGGAAGAAGCTGGTCTCCAGCGTGGGGAAGGGGTAGTGCTGCAGGGTCAGCTCGGAGGTGGCATGGGGGGTGACAGCGGGCAGTGAGGACAGGCTGGCGTTGGGGCAGTGGACACAGCACTGCTAGACAGAATGGGAGCAGTTTGGGTGCACCAGCGCTGGCCAGAGTGTGGCTGTGACATGAAACAGGCACCGCTGCCTTCACCTGGCCCTCCCCGAGGCCAGACGTGACCCCCAAACGGGTCTTGGAGATTCGGCACTGGCAGCGAGCTCCCCAGGGTGAGGGGCAAGTTCATCCTCTCTAGACCTACGTCCCCAGTGGTCCTCCCTGCACAGCAGAGTGGAGGTGAGCACGAGAGCTGGTGCCGCCAAGCTGCTCGTCACATCAGTGCAGTTGGGCAGTCACCGTGTGTCACAGGAGCACGGAGCACCCCTGGGAGCCTGCAGGGACGGCAGTGGGGAGATTCGTAGATCCCGGCTGGCATGTCCGTAGCCCCCAGGTGGCACCAGAATGGGACATGCTAGTTCTGGCAGCTGAGATTGCTGAATAGGAGAAGGGCTTGAAGGGGACAGAGACGTTAGTAGCAAGTCTTCCAGACTTTTTGTCAGGCTGCAGAGCTGCTTGTGTTCCCTGGGAGAGCAAAATGCAGAGCCAAAAAAGGGAAATGACAGCACCAGGGAGGAAAACAAAGGCCTCCGTCGCCTTCTGCAAGAAATTATGCTTCACATAGGCACTGCTGCCCTGGCCTCATCAAAACAAGCAGAGAAACAAAATCAGGAGAACTCGGGGCTGTAAATGTGGCACAGCCCTGCAGCCCAATTTGCCAGCTGCCTCTTCCTTTTGCTCAGGCTTACTGCTGCCATTGCAATGTTGGCTGGATGTCACCTTTCTTCTCTGCACCTCTGTAGCTCTTACACAACCAGGAAAGAAAAAACAAAGCCCAGGAAACAGTGAGTGCAAACCCCACAGGGGCTCTGGCCGGGCTGGTGCTGTGACAAGCCAGCCTTTGGCTCCCCAGCACCAGTGCTCTCGGCCCGAAGGGGCAGACGATGTCTGGGTTGCTCCCCTCTCTCCAGGGTTGCTCTACCCTTCCTCTCCCCCTCCCCCCCCCTTCTCCTCCTCCTCCTGCTTTTCTGGCTCCGTCCAGCGAGAGCTGCTGGGAAAGTGACACAACGGGGCCCATTCAGCTCTTGCTTCTGCGAGGAGAGCAAACACCGGCGCAGGAGTTCAGCAGCCACTGGACGGGGCAGAGAGGCACCTTTTCCCTCTTTCTCTGCTGCTTCTTGGTGTCCGGGTACCCCCAGTCCCAGGTGTGTGAACCCCCCAGATGCGTGGGAGGGGGTGGTGGGACAATGCCTGGCCCGTTGCGGTGCCCAGGTACAAGATGTGGGCTGAGCTGGGGGCATCATGTTGGTGGCACTCGCTGGTGGCTGCACAGGTGGGGGGGTAACCCTAGTGTAGGGGCAGGGGTGGGGGGGAACCCAAGGCAGAGCTGGCTGTGGTGATGGCAGCAGGCCAGAGTGGGGGCATGGGACCATGGAAGATGACAAGGGCCATGGGGAAAAGGGGATGGGCAAGGGGAAAGGCAGTCCTCTATAGGTTTGAGCCTTGCAGACCCCACTGCTGCTGCTCCCCAGAGCTTAGGGGAGAGGGAAGGGGGTCAGGGGGCTGTATTGGCCATATCTGCAGCCCCCCTGGCCCCTGTGCTCACCCCAGTCTTGGCCCCTCTCCGGCACCTCCACCCCAGGGGCTCGCTCCTGCCTGGCCAAGACTAACTCGTTCTTCCTGCAGCTAAATAGTGGAGATCTGTTCCAAGCCCTTCAATGAATAGCTCGGGGTGGGGGAGTGGGGAGTGTGCAGGGAGGGAGGCTCAGAGCTGGGAGGTGGACGTGGCCGAGGTGGGACATTGGCAATTAAAAGAGAGATGGCAGCTCAAAAAGCTGATGTGATCATATCCCCTGGGTGGCTATACCTGCTTGCCTTACAAAAAAACCCGAAGCCCTGATTGTAGAAAGAATATTGATATGCTGTACAGATCAATACAATGTTATGCTAGTGATATAAGAAGAAAAAGAGGGATGTGTCTGCTCCAAGCCAGATCCCCAGGAGTGACCCTGTGCTCCTGATGAACCCCAAACATCCCCCAGGAATTTAGATAGCAAGGGTAAAAGCTCTTTCCAAGTAGCGACCTGCTATCTGTGACCTTCACTGTTCACTCTAAATACTTATTTTCTCCTTCTTCTGCTCTCTTCCTCATTTCTATATAAGAGGAAGGGATAGTGAGACCTGCCCCACTGGGTCACAGCAACGCCCCCATGGCACCCGGTGCAGATGGCGATGCTGTTTGGGGGTGGATGGAAGCCTGACCCCCTCTGCCATTCCTCCCCGGCCTCACAGGGGCCTGTCACTAGGTTATCTCAGCCATGAGGCCATCCTGGGGGCTCCTCCTGCTCACGGCAGCCCTGGTGCTGGGGAGGACGGCTGCAGCCCGCTGTCCCCCACCCTGTGTCTGCGACAACCTCCGTGCCCATACCCTGTGCCTCAATGGGAGCCTGACGGCCGTCCCCAACACCATCCCGCAGGTGGGCAAGGGAACAGGCAGGGGATGGGGGGAGGAGGTGGGGATGGCAGCCCTGGGGTAACTCAGTATTTTATTTGCATGACCAACAGCTCACCAAAAAACTGGACCTTCGGGGCAACAGCTTCATGGTCATTGCGGCAGGAGCCTTTCTTGCCACCCCGTACCTCACACACTTGGACCTGCAGCGCTGCAAGCTGGAGAGGCTGGAGGAAGGGGCTTTCCGGGGGCTGGGGAGGCTGCTCTACCTCAACCTGGCCTCCAACAGCATAGCCCTCCTCTACCAGGAGTCCCTGGATGGGCTCTCCTCCCTCCAGCAGCTCATCCTGACGGGGAACCGCATCGAGGAGATCCAGCCAGGTGCTTTTGGCCATCTGGGGTCCCTCACTGTCCTCGACCTGAGGGCGAATGCCTTAGTCTACCTCCCGGACATGGTATTCCAGGGTCTGCAGGTCCTCAAGTGGCTCCGGCTGTCCCACAACGCCCTCCACGTGCTGGGCAGCGAGGCCTTCGCTGCCCTGCCTGCCCTGCGTAGGCTGAGCTTGGACCATAACGAGCTGCAGGCGCTGCCTGGCGAGGCCCTGGCCAGGCTGGAGGGGGCCACCCGGCTGGACCTGGGCCACAACCCCATCACTTACATGGCTGAGGAGGCCCTGGCCATGGCCTCCCTGAAGAACCTCTTCCTGGACCACGCTGCCCTCCAGGATGTGGCGCCTGATGCCTTCACCCGCAGCCCCCAGCTGCGCACGCTGGACCTCCGTGAAAACCAGCTGCAGGGGCTGCTGCCCCTGG